GAAATTGACTACTGATCAGCTTAAACTGAAAGCAATAAATGAAAAAAAAACATGCACTGACAAAAATACTATACTACATAAACAATTTATTTATAACAGTTCCAATAACTGGGATTCCAATAAGAAATTATACTTTATTAATTTCATACTGTTATTCTCTTCATGGGTTGAGTAGCTAAATATTTCTAAAACTTGAATAATCAATATGACAAAGCTAAAATGAGCTCTAATGAAGCTTAATTTACGAGTTTGTATATTGACTTATTTCGGTCTTAATTTTGTTCTTGGCAGGTAATTTGTGTTGGGTGAGGATAATTTTAATATATGAGATTTTGACATTGCCAAAGGAAAAGCTGGGTATCAATCAGATTTACTATGAATCTAACATAGCAAATCTGAGCAGTAGTATGCTTATAATAATATGCTGTTTATATTGTGGTAACAAAGACCAACCTTCAGGTAAAATAATATAGAATAAGTAAAAAAAAAAAAAAAAAAAAAAGCAAATATGCAAAACCCTATCAACTAAGTTGGACCTTAAACTGTAAACAAAAATATTACAATGGCAATTCAATTAACTTCACACATGGATTTCAAATTCCACATTAAAATCATCCCTATGATGATTTGGGCAATTTTTAAACATCCCTGGTGCCAGATCATTGCAAAGAATGCTACTAAATACTAATTAACTCTTCAAGTTTCTGTACTGTTCTTAACATACCCTAATAAGTCCATGAAATGATAAAGTAGTGTTGGCTTTTGGAAAGATGATAGACATCACTTTCATTACAACTAAACGATACTTGTGTCAATAGGTATAGGTATGTAACTGCTAAAAAAATTGTAAACAGGAAGATACGGCTATAACTTTTACAACTCAGCATATATATACATTATATATATATATCATTTTATATTTTTAAAATATATATAACTGAATTTCAGACTATACACAAAATTTCTAAAAGGAATGCACAGTACTTAGCAAAATATAACAGCAGCAGAAGGCCACTGTATATAACTAGCTCTGATGATACAGACGATAATTTCTTCCCCTATTTTGAGAAATGTTAAAACCGCACATAAGCGTATAAAGATGAAGGGGAAAATAACAATAACAACACTGGACATGCTAATAAAACTATGAGATATGAGCCTTGTACAAAAATATATATAAAAATACATACAAGAGCTATAACAATTCTGCTATTCTACCATGATGTATAGATAAACAAGTGCAATACACACCCAAGAAGTGGTCCCTTTCATTAAGGAAAATGAAATAGGGTGAGATTTATCATTTCACAAAGCATGCAGATTAAAGCAAGCAAATGCAAGAAATTCATGTAGCTTTTGATACTAATGCCCATACTTTTAAATCATGCACAAATGAAACAAGAGGAGATTACCTTATAGAAAACATTTTTGAATTTACATGTCATGTTAAAATATGAAGGGAAGGAATGTATTTTTGGTTTATGCATTGTAAATTTCGACCAGGTCAAAAAAAGTTTTACCAACAATTATAGGATTTTTTACTAGTCAAAATAACAATCTGAGCATGCAGTTCCAGGCTGCATAATCTATAAAGATATACATTATAATTTCATTAAAAACAAATTGTCAACATCATAATGTAACAAAAACCTATTAAAAAATACTGGTCTATAATTTCCATTTAAAGATATTCTAAAAATATATTGCAATATTAACATTAGATTTTCAACAAATCCGACGTGCATACATGTGTGACTATGGATAAGCTAAACAAGTTATTTCATTTTTTATCATTACAAATTTTTGGTTATTTTAGAATAGCATGACAAGTCACCTCTGTATTACTCAGCATGCTCTATTAATAAAGCATTGCCAAACTACAAAACAGTGCTGTAAAAAAAAAAAAAAAAAATTGTGTATTACTCATTTTCCAAATATTGCTCTTCCATCTCCTGTAGTACTTTCCATCCGTAACTCAATAAAAAAAGAGAATTCTTTGATGTGTTTCTCAATGTCTGCTAATTTTGAGTTAGGAATTTCTGTCAAACATATGGCCAAGGAATTTGTACTGGCAGACAGTTCTCTTCTCTCCTCGTTATAATTCATTGTGCAAGCATTATGTTGCTCTTCACTGCACTCTGGAAAATAATAAATAAAACACTCAAAAATGATTAACTCCATATCTAAAAAAGAAAAGGAAAAAAACAGCACTATCATCAAAGGTTAACCATAAAATCAAGAGTTTTATTAAGATCCTTACTGTGGTTGCTGAAATTTTCTCTGTCCAGTCTTTGGCTGCTATCTTGGAAACTACAGTCTTCAGAACCTTAGTTGCCTTTTCAGCATTCATTCTGAAGAAGAAAAATATTATGCTAAATGCATACTGAAACATCATGATAAAACACTAAATATCCATATCCTTCATTTCTATAAATCTAGCAAAAATCAACAATGTGAAGCCACACTGACAGGGCCCTTCCCCCAAAAAAATATTTTTCATAACATAGAATTGAATGCCCCTTATTCTTAGTCAGCAAAGCTCTGATAAATATGCTATTAGCTTCATTCATCTGCATATCCTGTGCAACATTATTCTGCTTTATTAACCCAATGCCGACGGGAATATGTTGTGTTCACTTTAGTATTGTTTTGTCAAATGTTTCTATACAAGGCTCTGCCAGTGCTTAGCCACAAAGTTGCCAATTAGTAGATCTTGTGACCTTACCTTTCCTTGAAATAGAGGGAAAATGTTTTTTTTTTTACTAATGCTATCAATATTGACACTGTTATTTCTGTTATAAACATTATAAATACTATATTGTTATTGACATTACTAATAGCAGGATTAAATACTAGAAAATATTATAAAAAATCAACAAAAAGGGTAAACAGGTGAGACCGGTAGTTCACGTAATTGACTCCTTGGTGATTTAGTACTTGTGGAGCCATCTATATGTAAAAACAATTACTAAATTAAACACACAGTGGGCATGGCATGTACGCACATAACATCCCCGGAGGCTAGTGATTAATTTTGTTTACACACTGATGGTTCCTGAAGTATTAGGAGTCACCAAGAATTTAATTACTAAGCCTAATTGACCTCACCTATTTACCCCATACCTTGAATATCAAAGTTTTTTTCTTAATACTATTATTTCTGTTAAAAAAAACATAATAATAATAATCTTGGTAATAACAATAACAATAATATTGATAATGAACATCTAAAATCTAAAAATACAAGGAAAAGGGTCAGCAAATGAGATCAAGTATACCTAATTATTTACCTTTTGATGACTAAGCATTTGTGAAGTCATCAATGTGTAAAAAAAACTACTAAACACCCACAAAGGACAGCATATGTAATATCCATCATCAATGGCTTAAAGATGAGAACTATGCAAAACCCAAAAATACATTTTCCTTTAAAAACTTTAATCAATACTTTAATAGACAACAAAATCAGACTAACTTGAAAGTTTTCATGACCTTCTCCACACTGACCACCTCCTCACCCTCTCTCCAGCAGTCATAGTCAGTGGCCATAGCAACAGCAGCATAAAGCAAGCCAAGTTCCCTTGCAAGTACAACCTGTTGGGCAATAAGGTCAAGAAAGTGTACAAGACCACATATATATACACTAAAAATATTTTCAGTTTAGTATCAAACATAAGACAATTGTAATCTTCAGTTATTAATCTGATTATGCTGATGTGCTTTTCTTTAAATAAAAGCGATTATTCATGATGAAAATGCTTACATACTTGATCTCTCCAAAGAAGGGAAAAACAAGTCTAATATAATTTTTTTTACTTGAAGATGAAGAATTTCTTATTGTTATTTTCTTTTACCTAATACATTTTGTGCATTTAAGACAGAATGTATGTTAAATAGTCTGGTCCAGACTCTATGATACAAAATGAAACATATGAATTTTAGCAGAAATTCTGATGCCATATAATTCTTTTCATCAGTAGCAGCAACAGATGACATGTTATATTGTAACAAACAACTGAACTTTTAAAATATTGAAGAGAGCAGACAAGAGCAAGCAGGATACTGTACCTCAGGAACTGTTGTCATATTGATAACATCACCACCCCACTGGCGGAACATTTTGCTCTCTGCTTTACTGCTGAATCTGGGGCCTTCAATGGTCACCATTGTGCCTTTGGAAGAAAAAAATATTTTCTATACATCACATAAATATACATGCAAACAAGCCACATGAGCAGGTAGGTAGGCTGGGATGCAAACAAACAGACCGACAGACACGTGTGCATGCGTGCATGTGCACACCCACATTTCTGTAATTCAACAAAATACACCGTATATATATTATATATATATATATATATATATATATATATATATATATTATATATATAGTATATATATTATATATATATACACACACACATATATATATATATAATATATATACCACACACACATATATACACACACCAACACACATATATACCACACACCACACACATTACAACACACACACATATATACACACACACACATATATACCACACGCACACAATATATACACACACACACAATATGTATATACACAACATATACACACACAACACACACACACACACACACACACCACACACACCACACAACACCAGCACACACACACCACACAACACACACACACATATATGTGGTGTGTATGTATATATATATATATATATATATATAATATATATACTTATATATATATATAATAATTATAATATATATATATATATACACAATTATATATTATATATATATATATATGAAAGAAAACAAATATTGTATAAGCCTTTGCTTTTTTGAACAAATTGACTCATGAATAATTTGAAAAAATTAAACAAAAATGTTAAACCCAATACTACCAGGGGTGGCATGCAGTCAGAAAGAAAAAATATTATTACCCTTTACACAAACCAATAGGTTTCCAAGTGTTATGGAATAGCAAGTCAAGACAGTCAGCG